ACACTCCAGACGGAGACGTCACTGCACCGTTTTTTCCACAGACTGGAAATATGGTGGCCGGTTTATTAGGAACCACTGATGGGGCAACAGATGTCAGGTGAAAACCTTCATGCTGAATCAACAAACCTGTTGGATTGTTGATTCAGCATCACCCAATCCATTCTGTTGCTCAAAATACAGCAAACCACTTTTTCTTTTCTTACTTTGGCTCCTGGAAAGCAGGCATATTAGACCAAAATGGCTTTCTTAACAAAGATAAACCAGAAAAAACATGACAAGGCCACATAGCATCAGACAGTGACTGTTTTTAACACTAATAATCCATTAAAATAAGTACCAAGTTTAACATCTAGGGCAAAAACATCCTTTTTTATTACTAATCCCACACAAAGACATGACATGACGGACAGACTCTCAAACTTTTACATCACACCTAGCATTCTACTTTTTTACTTTAATTCTAGACAAAAAATGGGGGAAAGTGCAGGTGTTTTGTAGTAAATATGCTGCATATGTTCTGGCCAACAACCCCAGTGAAATATAGACATCAGCCAGCCTACTGTCTGTGACACAATTATTTTCATTTCATCACAACTGTCATTCTGCCCCATATGAGTGGGATTTGGACTTTAAAGCAGGTTTGAAAAAATCCTGAAACAACCACTTCTGGTTACAAGCAGCAGCGAACAGTCCAGAGCGGTGCTCTAATTGAAGCCCTTCTGAGAAAAATGTATTTGTGTCTTCTCGTCCAGCTTGTTTAGAGCCATCTGGCTTGGCGTAAACACAGGCAGTGAGTCTTTCCACCATATTTCTCTCAACCAGCCATTTCCATTTACATCAAAGGGCCCAGAGTGTAGAAGTGCACACTCTGGCAGAAGGCTGGTCAAAGAAAAACCTCAGCAAGCTTCTGTAGCGGTGCAGTGAACCGAGCAAGAGCGATATCAGCTTTGTCCATTTAAGTGAGACAAACAGCGGAGTGGACAGATACTGAGGCAAGATGAGTAAGAGGAGGGCAGAGAACAGAAGGAGACAGAGGCTGAGGGACACCAAAAGGGAAGAAAGACACTGTAAATCTGTATTTTCTTGATCTTCTCCTTATCTCACCACTCTTCCTTAGATTGCCAAGCATCAGAAATCATTATATCTATATCCAAACTGAGCATTCTCTTTGACTATCCAGCACATTTTCATACAAGAATTCATGGCTGACACAGGGTTCAAAATACAGCAAACTCAGGTGAAAGCAAGTTCTGTATACAAAAAAAAACTAGACTAAACAGTCACCTTGATTTAAACCATCCTTCTTGCACATGTCCCACCCAAGAATTTGAAAGGAGATGCTGTGTTTAACCCTATAATGCCATATGTATCCTATTTGATACCTACTTTTTCTGAAATCTTTTGCATCTGAGATCTTTTGCATCATCTTATGGTAAAAACTTTGCTCAAAACCTTGTTATAGACAATCGCATATAATTCGGGCAAAGTGCACACATCTGCTGGCAAAATGAAAACCAGACCCAGATCCTCACATCTCTCTGCTCGCTGACACACATGCAGGACAACATGTGTGCACAGCTGGCGCAGACAAAGCACATCAGAGGACACACTGATCCAGCACAAGCGTGATTGGCTAATGGGGGCTGTAACAGAGAGCTGAACTACATTTCCCATTATCCCGCTGCACAAAGCGACCGAGAGGACAGGCTCGGTACGTCAATCTGCGTTACACAATTTGGACACAACAGAACAAAATAAGACACTGTGAAATTGTGATATTTTCAAACAACAAAATACCTAAGCTTACTGTGACCAAAAAACAACAAAAAAAGAACCAAAAGTCATACAAAAAAATAAACAAATGAACAATAAGACATTTAAGTTAGTCAATGACAAGAAATAAGCTATATAAATAATCTAAACACAGATTCCAAATGTTATAGCGTGTCCTTCAGGATGGCCAGTCAGCAAATACTAACTGCCCCCAAAGTATTTGTAAGTTGCATAAAACAATTTAGCTGCTGCTACCCAAGGCCTTGTGATGTCACATCCTCTCCGGCAGGGCACACCTTCCTGCTCTTCACCCCCTGGCCTCATCATCCCCCATAAAAGTTCAACAAAGACCAAACAACACATTAAACCAACAAGACCTTGTAAAACACACACACACACATACACAAACCCATGGTAACACTCGCATTCCAGAGCAGGGTGCTCTAACACACCCTCTAGAGTCTTGTCCTTTGATGTGAGTGTGGGAAAGCTCAGGGGAATGGTCTTAGTGGGGGAGGGAGAGAGAAAGGCAAGGGGCATCTGAAAGAGATGGGGGGTGGGATAGTGGGAGTTTGTGGAAGCATGGGCGGGTGGAGGGTAGTTGCTTAAAACTGACCCCTGGAGCACTGACTGATCAGTGTGTTTAAACAGGGGATGGAGACCCCCCCCCCCTTCCCCTCCCACACACACACCGACTCAGAATTTGCTAATTAGCAGACTGATACAGGAAAGGATAAGACTGAGATAAACTGATTTGCTGCCTAAAAATGAAAAAGGACAAAAAGAAAAACACCCGAGAGGAGATAAATATCTAAAAACAAAGGCTGATAGCAGCCAGCGTGGACGAGGGAAGGTAAAGGTAAATGACGTCAACTTAAAAGACCACAAAAAGATAGATTTCAGTAAAACCGCAAACCCTTTTTTTTGTCTACGCATAGCTTGCAAGTTTCTTGAACTCCAAGGATACGTTTCAGCTCAGACAAATGAGTTTAATGCGGCAAGCAGCACTTGGCATTGGTGGAGCTGATCGTCAATATCGACGCCTCAAATACAACATCTTCTTTTCTGGTTCAGGTTGAGCGGGAATGAAAGGAGCAAAGGGAACGGGCAGAAGGCAACCAGAAGAGAGGTTAGGAGTTGGGAGGTAAAACGTGAAGCAGAGTCGAGGGTTTGGAATGAAAGAATCTCTTCTGGCGGCTGTGTTGACGTCTCCAGACTGGGTCTGTCTTGGCAAAGCATCCATGCGTGCATGCATGTTTGCACGCACGCACCACACTGCAGCAGCTAAACAGAGGTTACTTTATATAAAAGCTGGTCTCCGGCTGTGCCCTGAGGTCTCTGTAATCTCACTCGGTAAAGTCACACACACTTGCACCCTGAGCCCAAACGCACACGCAGGCACACAAGTACACAAGCGTGTGCAAACACGGAGCTCTGAAAGTCTCAGTAATCACAACGAGTCAAGTCTAAAGAGCGACTCAGTTCGTCTTCAAAGCACACGGCCACGCTCCACCTCTCATTAAACCCTGTGACCTCCATCAGGGAAAGATACAGGGAAAGCGCAGAAGTTTGAGCGTGTCTGCGTGTGTGTGCGTGGCACGAAACATTAATAGCATCTGCATTCAAATATGACCTCTAGCCACCAACCTTCCAACCAATTAACTGTCTGTGACTGCAGCAAACGGCACTGAAAAAAGAGCAGAGACGGACACACTGTGCTTTCAATACTAAGTTTTCCTTTCTAACTGCACATATAACCAAACAGAGGAACAGACAGCCACCATACCCCCAGCCGTGGCTGCATTAATATGAGGTATTTTTTGCAAAAAGGAAACCAATAAATCTCTCATTAGCACAATTTATATTTCAAACTATTTTAAAATATAAGCTTGCCCTCCACTTGTTGCTTATGCATTGCTATGATCTCATCTGTGGCTGTATCTCTGCATTGTTGCATTCATCCATCCTATTGTGTTTCTATTTGGAATTATCTTTGCCTGAAGGTCTGCCTGTGGCAATCTCTCTGATTTCAGGGCAAAATTGAATTACATAGTGGGTGGAGGAAAGGAGGTGGGTTGTCATTTGTTACGACACACAGAGCCGTGGTAGTGAGGGTTTTTATAGGCGGGGTGGCAGGCGGTGTCTGAGCCAAAACTGCTTTCTCTCATCTGTGAGGGCCACAGAGAGCCTGAAAGAAGAAGACTAGCTGAGGCAAAGAGATTGTGAGGACAACAAAGACATCCTTTCAAAGTTTTCTGAGCAACAGCTTACACTGTCTGACATCATCAAAGTGAGACCATTCCAGTAGAGCTGGGGGGAAATCCCATGTTGCTGCCACCTCCTTCCGTCGTTAAGAGCCTCTAAGTGGCTCACATTTCCAGTCTTTACATGTCCCGGTATCAGATGCAGCCAGAGTGCGGCTACGACTGCTCCCTCTCACCAAAAGCAGACTTTGCTTTCAGCAAGCTACTTTTAATAAAGAGATTATATCTAATTTGATATAATCTCTTTATTAAAAGTAGTTTGCCATCCCACAACCTTCCTTTTCTTCACTCTTACTAATGTCTTACTTGCCAATCCCCCATAAAAGGCTACAATTACAGAGTAATTTTGAGTTTCTACATATTTGTACAAATATTCTTAGACATGTGACTTGATGGTGACCTTCCTGGAAACACAACTTCTTATCATATCATACCTATGTGATAACGCAACTATTTCGACAGACTTACAAAAATGTGTTGGAGAGCTGCAGTGTCTTAGAGATAAAACATAGCTTAGTGTTAAACTCAGAGTACCAATGGTGCAGTAATAAGCCTGAAGGATCATCCGGAATCTCTAAATCTCAGTTTTTTGTTTTATCATTGGCACAAAACATTTTCATATAATATGTCTTTGACCTGGATTATCAGATGATAAAACAAGATTTGTGGACAAAGTTTTCTGCCTAAAAAATGTAGAAGTCTTTCAAATGAACTGAAATCAATCAACTTCTACAGAGTTGTCAAAAAGAGGAAATGAGTTGCTGCTAATAAAGACTTAAAACACTTTCATTTTCTTGAAATACAAATATATAGCAAATATTCCAGAGCCAATGCAAAAAAAAAAGAAAACATGCATTAGTTTTTTAGCTTACACATGAAACAGTCAGCAAACGCACAAACACAGACGAACACACACAAGTGGTGACCCACCAGTATGATCAAATACTATGAAAGGAGACTGACCCTGGATGCATTGCAGTGAGCCATCCTCCGCCCGGATGGTAAACGTCTCCCCTGGGTTCACCTGCACCACTATCACCTGTCCAACATACACAGAAGCACATCATTAGAAAGGAGGCGGTCAGGCTAATTTACAAAACAAAAATGTCCTGAACACACTTAAAACAACCACACAGCAGGGACAGACCCCCTGCTGGGCAGCCAGTTATCTTGCAGAGGGGGGACATCACATCCATCTGATCTGCGAGTAGGCGTGTACAGAGTTCACATATACAAATGGGGTGTTAAGAAAGACGATGGTGAAACACTGCTACTGTCTCCCCCCCTCCTGGGTTTGAGGGGGTAGCCTTTCTTTTTCACCTGGGATGGAAAGAAGAGGACTAATCCATATTACACACAGACCAGTTGAACATGGAGACAGGTGAGCACAGAAGCCAGATGAACGTTTCTCTCCCTGAGTGTCTTTGCTGAAGGAGCTGGAGGAGTGCATGAGGGTACCCTACCGTCATATTCTGCGCATACAGATTGTTGAGAGTGTACACGTGGCTGTACACATGAAGCAGGTGACCCTCCATCGCACATGCACACATATTCAGCCACACTTTCGAGCACACCCAAGCGCCTCGTCTATGCTCCACAGGTGTGTCCTCCTGGACGCCTCATGTCCTGCGCTCCTCCTGTCGCCTCTGCATCTTCTCCCATCTCTGTGCTAACCTGCTTCTCTCCCTCAGACACAGACACACACACACACGTAGACACACTCACATACTTCCTGCTCTGTCTGCTGCAGCGGCTGCTGTTGCTATGGGAACACCAGCATAGTACAGGGCGACCCAAGGACTAAGAAAACCCCTATATCTGACCATGTGGGTTGGGGATGCTTATACCTAAACATGCTATCTGCTATGTTTGTGACTGTATGTTTACAGGTTGTGTTGACCCAATCGGTACTGTCCAGTCTTGTAATGATTAGGTTAATAGAAAACCTCTAACATTTCAATGGGATAATGTCCAGAGGATTTCTACAGCTGCTTTTTAATTTTGTCTACAAGGAATCAGTAAATTTTGAGCTGTATAGTTTATAGAGCATGGATGCTGTAAATCCAGGGTCCAAACTATGCATCTCACACAAAAATGCACCAAAAGAAAGTAGCAGAAGGTAAAGTACACATGTATCTCTGTTTGCACCAGAGCAACAGACACGGATAAAGAGATGTAGGCATGTAAACACAGATAGGGGAAAAAAGCTAATAGACAAGCAAGCAAACAAACACATAAACATGTCCTCAGACTCAACACAGACGCGAATGTGCCCACACAGACGCTGAAAGGTTAACAGATCCAAACACAGACATGAACACGAACACACGGCGTTTGAAGCAAAACAAATATACACAAATATGGATGCACACATGCTGACTCAAATCCATATAATCATCTGTCTACATCCCTGATTCCACACTGGGAACTGAGTTCAAACTGCAGGGTGCTAAAATAAAAAGAACTCCCTAAATGCTGCGTATTATTGCCAAAGCCCCCATAACTGTTACATGCTGCAGCCAAAACACACCCACCGTGCCTCAACTTGGCTGTGAGGAAAGAACAGGCTAGGGATGATACAAAAGCGCTGCCATCACTCATTCCAGAAAGTGCTTGCAGCATAAAGATGACTCTGTGACAAAAGACTAAAGCCAAGCGGCTACGATGCATTTACTTGCACTGACCGCTTCCTTTTGCTTGCGCAAAGCTGAGGTAGGGTTTTGTTTTTTGAAGGTGATCCAGCTGGCTCTGCCATATCTGATAAAACCTTCTCAGATGCAGCTAACTTCTTCTTGAAAGTAATTCACGCTTTAGCTCGGTATCTGTCGGTGGAGCCAGTAAGCAGATTAATCTGTTTTAAACGTGTCTGTGCGACTAAACCATTAATAAAAAATAAATGTGCATCCGTCTGATGTGCTGATGTCGGCCCCTATGAGCTTGGCAGCTTTCCATTATTTGTGGCAACAACTCGCCGGATTAACTTTGCACGTATTCTTGCATGAGTCAGAATGTGTGTACGGCGACAGCACGATGCTGAAAGAAGATGGTGGGTGCATTCACATTCTAGGATGGCTGGACGCAAACGAAAGATATGGGGCAGGGGTTGTAATGCGTGCACCTTTGTGAGACGGCGGCTTTACCTGCTGAGCTGCATCACCGTTAACCATGTGAGGCATGAGAGGGACCTCCCCGTTCAGGAGGGGGGGCGGAGCCAAGTCCAGTGGAATCTGGTCTGTCATCATCATTGTGACGTACATTCATGGAGAAATTGACTGAACTGTCCTACCTAGGAAAGTACAGAGAGAAGGAAAAAGGACATGGTTACTGCTTGTAAAAGACAAAAACACACCCATCTCCATCTATTTCCCAGACAGGACTTCAGCACATCAGAAACACATTTTTTTTTTGCAACAGTTAAAGCGACCTAATCTTTGCCTTCTGCTACAGCTGGAGGCAAAGATTAGGTCGGAAGTTTACGTCGGAATATTAGTTCGGAAGCTTGAAATTCAAAACTTTCACCTAAAGCTGAAAAGGTATTGTGGCCGATGTTACCATAACTTCAGAACCTTTGGTCAACAGAGAGGTGGCTCAAGCGGCCATCCAGTTATCTTAGCATAATGGTTACAAAACACACAGTGTAGATTGGGATAAGTAAAAGACGTTACACATGTGGGGATGTCCACGTCAAACATATTTGATCAGTATCAAACAACAAAGCAAAGTCTTTTTTATTCCCCAAAAGCAATTAAACTAAAATTAAAGTTTGTACCAAGTCTCTATTAAACCAGGCAATGTGTTTTCAACAGTGCGCCTTGTGTTATTTTCTCACTTGCCTACAAATGTCCCTCTTAGCTTCAAAAGTATGCTCTATTTGCATTATTTTGGAACTTTTTTAATAAGAACTTGCATAAAAATTCCAATATTTGTTTTAAAAAAACCAAAAAACAAATATATTTAGAAATATAACGCTGCAATAAACTACTTATGGAAAAGTTTATCATTACACAGGTGTGCAATAAGAAACTGAAAAATGACCAAATAAATGACCCAAGAAGTAATAAAAGGTTACATTTTGCAAAAAGGTAAACCAAAGACAAAGCAGACTGATTATTCCAGTGTGGCCTGTGTTGTTGTATTTCATTGTACACTTGTCTTGTGCAGGTGAATTAGCCTTAGTATAATCCAACAGGTCCTATCACGTTGGTATAAAAGGAAAGATTAAAGAAAAAGAGGAAAACAGAGATGATAGTGGGACTAAGCCATAGCTTTTCAGCATCAACAATAGTCTCAGGGATTATGGTGAATATCCTGTTTGGATAACTATAGAAAAAAAGAAACATGGGATGAAAAGGGTCCTGGTTTATAGGTAAATAGGGATAACGCCACCAGCTGTTAGCTTTGGAAATACAACACAGAAGACGGGTATTCCGTGTAAACATACAAACGCATAAAAAGAACAGGAAGTCTTTCAAGTTCTTCTGGGGTCAATTGTGCCAGGGCACAATGCGGAGTAGGTGCAACCGAAATCTGACTATGGTTTGTCAACTCGCATAATAATAATAGGGGTAAAACCAAAAACTGCATGACAGTGAAAAAAATAAAAAAAACGTCTACCAGCAGCGCAATTCATCCTAAGTGGAAAATAACAAGGCATCACTGCACGAGACTACGGGGCAGTAACACAAAAAAACCAAAGCGACATGCGTCAGCTGTACACGTGGTCCTCATCAGGGTTCTTACGAAAGCTGCTCACCAAAACCTGAACGGCCAAAGTGTGTGTGCTTACACATACACACGGCGAAACCACACAGATAAACAAATTGCTAAAGCTCTGAACCCCATATGCTTTGTCCTGAGGGAAATGTATACACGGATAAGCTCAGAGCTGCTGCCAGAAGTGTTTTATAGCAGCACACCGGCTCCACACACAAACACACGTCCACACGGAGATTGGTCGGCTCAGGAAAGTTATTGCACGTCGCAGGTTTTGCGATTTGATGTCGGTGAGAGAGAGGCCACCGTTGAGGAGCCTGCCTCTAATGGCTGTAAGCTGTTGCGGGTAAACACAAGAACATACAGCCCAATATTTATGTGGCAGGGATTTCCTCTAAACTCCGAGTGAAGAGTCAAAAAGGAAAAAGAAAAAAGTCACGTGACACACGGGCCATTTCTATGAAAACAGCTGTGTGTCATCGGGTGTCTTTTCTTTCAGCTGGTCCTCCTCGAGCACTGACGAGGTCCCTGGAAGGGTTAGTGGATCGTACAGCTGGCGCTCATAATGTGGCAGCGTGGACACGATCACACCACCCCTTCTACACCTTGTAGCCTTTTTCAGTGAATCTTTCCATTTTTGACTTTGCTCTTCTTATGTTTAAATCTCTATCTTTCAACTTCTGAGCCCCGTTCCCAGCTCAGCCTGGCCATCCTGCCTTAAGCACACACGCACACACTCACACACACATTCACACACACACACACACACGTGCTTGCATGCATGTCCAAGATGCATCACAGGCAGATGGTAACACCACTGTCAGCTCTGCCAGGAAAAAGAGAAGAAAGCAGAGGAGGACAGTGGGAATAAGTAACTCGAGATGAACTACAGAGTGAGGAATAATAATGATTATGGTTATCCAAGTAGTGTTTTTGCAACACAGTCAAAATTTCAAATTTTTATTTCATATATTTCATGCAAGCAGCTGCCGTTTCACTGCCCTTCAACACACTGAAAAAACAAACACGACAACAGACCGTTTTGTTGGTTTCGTTAAGCACAAAATTAGCAGAAACGTGTAAAGAATTTCTCAAACTAGTCTTGGGTTTTGAACTAGAAATTTGGTACCAAGACAGTTTAGCATAAAAACAGTATTAATTGGCAAAAGCTGCTCGACTCAGCACCCCCTTTTGCCCTGCAGTGATGCATATTCTGCTACATTTACCCCATTAAACGCTGCAGTCAGAGCACTGCTGCTGGACAAATTGCTTAATGGCAACAGTGACAGGATGATACTCCTATCAAGATTCGGCTATATCAATATTAATGTGTACAATTACGTTCAACATGGCAAGAGGCTTTGAGTTTCTCCCGCTTCAAAAGGCTACTGACATCATACCACAGCTGACAGCTTTACAGCTGGAAACTCTCTGAAGGCTGGGTTTTGTAACATATACAAACTGATAAAGCATTTTACTGTATGTTGGGCTCACAAACACTGCAGTGATATGTTTACTGACAAAAATTGGACAGTGTTATCAATGCGACTACTTTGCCTCAGATTTGAGGAGACAAATACTGACAGCTGTGCCTGTCACCAGTGTCAGCCATGTTGGATTTTGAGGGCGGTGCTGGCAAAGTAATTAAAGATGAGCAGGACAGATTCAACTTGTGGGCTGTGTTCTAGTTCACTTTTCCTGAAGGTACCCTGGAAATCTGGACTTCTGACTTATAAAGCCTTTTGAAAGAAGCAATAGAGGAAGTAAGTAAAAACAGAAACGAGAGTGGTACAGTTTTATTTCCTGATGTCTTTTACATAACCCACTAGCTCTGATGTTTTCTTAGCTGATGTGTTAAATTACACAGTTTAGATGCAACACTAAAAGAATTATCTGGAGCATTCGCATGCTGTCATGAGAACTGCTTTGTTTATATTGTGACTATTTGCCTTTCATGCTCAGTCATAAGGAAAGTAACCACAGATGCCCTTTAATTTGCATCTGTTATGCATTGTATGTGTTTCCCACAGGACGTAATATATATCACTGGACTTTTAAAGTATCATTGAATGAATAACAATCTTTGTTTTCCACTGGAGTCATTACTGAGGGGTAACTCCTGTAGACAGCCTCAGAAATCATCATGATTACAAACACACAGCTATACATACAAACTCCCACGTATAAGGGGGTTTCCGTTCCACAGTGAGATGTAGGAGGAATAAGGTGTTGATTCCCAGCTGGGATGAAATGTTAAATTGCAACTTTCCATAATGGATTCAGGAAACAATCAACCACTTGTATGAGTGTATGAATGTCTGTGTGTGTTTTGTACATGCGTCTCCATCACTAAACAGAAAGCCTTGTATGAGCATGGAAACTGCTTCTTTGACAGAAGCAGGGAGTAAAACACATACTGAGATGTAACACACACACACGCACACACACACGCAGCAGCCCCAGATTTTCAGCGGCAGCTCATAATACTGAAGTCATTACTCATACAGTCATTTCTTACTCACACACACACCCAATGAGTCCAGTTTGCCCATCCTGATGAAGCATAATGGATATTCACATTGAGCTAACAGACTGTCTGACTTACTTCCAGCCAGCTGCTTCACACCTATGTCTCCTCACAACCATTTACACAGCCAGCGAAAAGCAAACAAATTCACTTCTGTGTGATCTCCCAACGGCCATCTGAGCATCTGAGCTTCCTGTTCCTCCTTAACCCACAGATATTTTATTTGTGATGTAATGAAAACAAAACCACGAGACAGCGCAGTCAGGGAAACCACAGGCAGTAACATTAGTTAAACACCAAATGGTTCTTTTTTTTCCCTTTTCAATGTAAAGTAGAGGTCATATTCACCCATATGCCTTTTGGTCTACATTATGCAGCTCGAAATTCAATTAATAAAACAATTGAACCCTTATAATACTTTGATTTCCAACATCCAAACACTGTCTTAATGCTCATTTTGAGGACAGATGCAAAAAAAATGGTTTCACCAGTTATGGGTGGTTTTGAAAATAAACCTCGAGTGCAATGACTCAAATAGATTTTTAGTTCCACCCTGCAGTTTGCCTTGATGAATATCAAACAAGTAAAACAGATTTCTGTGGTCCTGTTGCACATGTACATACTCCTAAAAAATAAACCCGGTAATAGTTGGTCTTTAACACAAATCTGCATTATTTGTTTTTTAACTTTACCATTTGCTTCTTCTCTGTGCGCTTGTCCATGTGACTGACTGATTCACCCTGAAGTTAGAGCGTCAGGCTATTTTTAGTGGGGGATGATGCATTGTTCACGCATGACAGACATGATAAGTCCTTTTTATAAGTGAATGTGTCCCAGAGAGAGATAAGCATTGATTTCAGGTGTAGTACCTCTGCTGAAAAGCTGTTCGTCAAGGTAAAGTGAGTGGAGTAGATGGCAGTCTACAAAGGTTTGTACATGAGAACAGAAAGCAGAATGAACCTTCCAGATTTGATGTGCACAAAAAAGGTGGTGGCAATAATTTCTAATCAAAAGTTA